TCTCGTCATCCCCTCGTCTTGTCATGTGTTTAAATAGTGTTCCCTGTTTTCAGTTCAGCGTCCGATATTGTTTGTCTACATGTGCTACGTGAGTTTTCCTTGTTATCATTAAAACTCTCTGGATTGATGTATTCCTCGTCTCCCTCAATTCCTTGCTCCGCACTCCACTCAGTAGTGCAAACGTGACAGTATTTTACAGTATGTAATTTGACGTTATAACAAAGTACACTTTTTAAAAGTGTATTTAAGTGTATTAAGAAACAATAATGAAACTGTACGAAAGGAAAAATTGAAATCGCATCATATGACCCCTTTAAAATACACTTAAGTTACCTTTCATTCTATTAATATTATATTATCTTCAAGTACATTTTTTTAAATATACTTTAAAGATGAGAATTACACTACAAGTGCACCTTCAATGCAGTTAAGCACATTACTTTTTTTTCAGAAGGGTCTCAGTGGAGTATTCAGTTTTTCGAGCCACTAAGCACCGCCTTGAGTAAAACCTCCTTGTGTCTCATGGGAAACTGTTAATGTCTGAAATGTAGCTATTAATAAAGTTGCAGAAGTGGGGCATTAATGTGTGTCTGTGTTACAGGAGATGCTCAGTTCAGTGAAGCCACAGGATACCCCATGATGCAACAGTGGAGAGTGCGGAGTAACCTGTATAGAGTGAAGCTCAGTGCCATCACCCTGTCTACAGGTACCACAAGAAACACACAAACTTCAAAACCATGAATACTCCTTCATGTGTGCGTATGTGTTCAGCACATTTATACTTAAAAGGGTTAATTCACTTAAAATATGAAAAATTTGTATTCACCCTCATGTCGTTGGTATATTTTTTTTTTATGATAATTTTCCTTCCTCATTTACACTCTCTGTCAAAAAGGGTGTTATCTCTAGCAGAAATGCAAGCAAATGTGCTAACTGCTGTGATGGGAATGGTGACAAACTCGGTAGACTCATATATTCAGCTTGACTTTGCTTTCTTTACACAATATTCAATTCAAATTTGGCACTCTACCAAAGAGAAACTTGGTCTCTTAATAGTGTTAAACTGTTACAAACACTTACACTATTAATAAAAGTACTTACCAGCATTGCCTCTGAGGACAAAAACTTGGCACTGTTGTAGCTTTTAATACAATATATTTAGAAATAAATGGCAGCATGTTGAGATTAGTTAGGAAACAAGCCCATGCTGAATTGAGACTATCAGATGGACACATTCTCGTTCAATCGCTCAGGCATGTCGTTAAAAATGGTTACATTGAAAGCTTAAGTCACTACAGAAGGCTTATTAAAATAAATACAAATAAAAAATACCATGTGTAGTTATCTTTGCATACCCTCTGCATCTGTAAAAGTCCAATAAAGTCATTGCATGAAAATCAAACTTCTATTAATTATAATACTGGGCTGATGTAAAGTCACAATACCTTTCTTCAGCTGCTTTAAACAAAAGTAATATAAAAACAAGGAGAACTGGTCAGTAGTACAAACAGATAAGGCACGATTTAGCATATTTTGAAAGTCAGTATGACAAAGAATGACCAAAAAGGGACATTTTTCAAAATATATTTTGTGGTCCACAGATGAAAGTCAAGCACACAGGTTTGGAACAGCATTGGGAAGAGTAAACGAAGACCTAATATAATTTTTTTGGGTGAATGTGTGAGATTGTCATTTCATTATTCGCTAAAATAAAATTAAGTGTTAAACAGTAAAACTATGTGTGCTACAAACGTGTGTGTATGATTACGCTAATTATGTGATAACAAAAAGTAGTTTGTAACATCAAGCAATGTAACGACCTGTTTTTGTACAGCAACAATAACTGTAAGCGGCTGACACTGGAAGCATTGCACATTCAGGTTAAAAATGGCCGTGCCTGCTTTTACATTAAAAATAAGCTGGATAGCTTTTCATTTGAAAAAACACTTCTGGAACAATGCCACTGAAAAAGGGAGAAGACACTATATCACTGTCAGAGTACTGGAATTGTAGGTGTAATAAAGCAAGTTTTACTGGCCTCTTAAAAGGTCTGGTGACAAGCAATAAATATATGACAATGAATCAAAGATTTTCTCAATATAATAAATTAATTGTTTCTGTATGTGTGCTGGTGCTTTGGTCAGATTTCTCAAAGGTGCTGAAATCCCTGACGGCAGACAGCACGCGGGATGAGTTGCTTGCGTTTATTCAGCAGTACGGCAGTCATTACATCTCTGAGGCGCTCTATGGTTCTGAGCTCACCTGCAACATCTACTTCCCCAGCAAGAAGTCCCAGCAACAGCTCTGGCTCCAGTACCAGAAAGGTAAGACATAGGTAAAGGGGTCAAGGAGAAGGGAAAGATGGGAATCATATCCCAGACAAATAAAGCAAAATCACTTCATTTCATGGGGTTTGTGCATTTAAGTTCCTGCTGTGAAATGCTCTGTGCTGAACATCGGATATTACACCAGTGGGTTCTGGACATGTGAAAAATGTGGGTTCACTCATATTGTATGAACAAGGTATGTCCATACAATATGAATGACCTCTGAGTCAACAACCAACTCTGATACAACAATTACATATTCAGAAGGCCTACGGCAGGGGTTCTCAACTCTGGCCCTCGAGGTCCACTTTTCTGCGGAGTTTAGTTCCAAACTTGCTCAAACTCACCTGCTTGCAACTTTCAAGTAATCCTGAAGACCCTGATTAGCTTGTGCAGGTGTGTTTGATTAGGGTTGGAGCTGAACTCTGCAGGAAAATGGACCTCAAGGTCCAGAGATGAGAACTCCAGGCCTACAGGTCAAAGCGGAGTCTGCAGAGGCAACAAACCAGGGCAGTGGTTCCTAACCTCATTCCTAGAGACCCCCAAACAGTGCACATTTTGTCTTCTTAATCAAACACACCTGATTCAGGTCATCAGCTCATTAGTAGAGACTTGAAGTCTATGTCTGAAATCGCCCCCTATACCCTTAAATAGGGCACTTGAGGGGACAGCCATTTATAGTGGTGTCCGAAACCATAGCACAGGGGTTCTCAACTCTGGCCCTCGAGGTCCACTTTCTTGAAGAGTTTAGCTCCTACCTTGATCAAACTCGCCTACCAGTAACGTTCTAGTAATCCTGGAGACCTTGGCTGCATTTACACTTGCCATTAACATGCGACCTGTATCCGGATGTTGTCCACATACACATTGAAAAGACAAGTGTAAATGTGCTTCTGATCGGAATGTTATCCGATCAGCGTGTCCTGGTCCAGAGGTAGTCAAGGACGTATTGTGATCGGATCTCAGTGTAATGTAAACGCAATCCAGACATTGTGTCTGCATTTGCAGGTTGACGTCATGCAAAACCCTGCCCACTCTCTCCCGAACTGTCAGAAGAAAGATGGAGGGCACCAGGCCGTGGAGCGCTAGTGAGACTCGAACACTTAACACCGTGCAGATGTGACAGTTGTCACGCCGCAACAGGGTGAGGCTGTCTACACTGGACGCGACAAAGCACTCTGTGTCAGTACGTCATAAATAGGAAGAGGCAACAGTTTATTTTTCGGGGATTTCTCGTGTCGCGCCGTGGCACATCCAGTCTAGACAGCATCACTGATTATAATGGGTTCTATAGTATTTTGTCGTGCTGTGCCGCTCGTGTCCAGTGTAGACACGGTGTAAGACTTATTTGAATATTGCATGGGAAAGAGAGATCCGATTGGTTATCCAGATAGAGAAGTCACTTGATGTTGCCAAGTGTAAATGTGCCATGTCCTGATTGACTGATGATCCAATCTGCTTGATCAGATCACGGTGATCACATGTTAATGCCAAGTGTAAATGCAGCCCTTGATTAGCTTGTTCAGGGGTGTTTGATTAGGATTAAAGCTAAACTATGCAGGAAAGTGGACCTCGAGGGCCAGAGATGAGAACCCCTGCCATAGTGAATGTTATCGAGTGCACTCATTCAATCCCATAATGCACCGTAAGAACAAATGTGCAATCGATGTACACTCAGTGGCTAGAGAATACCCATAATGGACTGTGAGGGTTGTGTCAAATGAATTCTGGCATCTCACCAGAAGATGGCTCCTGTAGCTGAATCATCCATCCATCCATTTTTCAAACTGCTTGTCCAATGTGGGTACAGCATAATGTCCTAAAGGTATTGATTTTTAAATAGTTTATTTAAGCTTAAACAATTCTTAAAAATTGTCATGGATTAGTTTTCATGACAGAGTTCAGGATAAATATTTTCATTACTACTATAGCAGCCAAATGAGTTTCAAATTAGTATTAAACATCAAGCACAAACTATGCACTTAGACAATGGAGACCTGCAAAATGTGCAGCGTTGGGGGCTCTGGGAACGGTTGGGCACAACTGAACCGGGGTAGCCAACCTTTGTCCTGGAGGTCTACCTGCAGATTTCAGTTCCAAACTGCTCCAACACATCTGCCTGTTATTTTCAAATAATCCTGAACTCCTTGATTGGCTGCTTCAGCTGTGTTTGATCAGGGTTGGAGCTGAACGCTGCAGGAAAGTTGCTTTCCGGGAGCAGGATTAGCAATCTCTGCAACCATTGTTAAATAGGTTTAAATACCATATAATAAAATATTATCAACTGTTAAATAATAGAGAAATTCACTACAGGTGATTTTCTGGCCCAAAATTTTTCTGTCATTCCTGCTTTAAAATACAGTAGTTTCTAGATGTTGCGTCACCAGAGTTCTTTACACAGGCAGAGGCACTGACCGCTTTTCCATAATAGCTCCATGCATAGGAAATGTTGTACAGGATTCAATAATCCAGTGTTTCTCAACTCTGTTCCTGGGGGCACATCAACAGTACACATTTTGGATGTCTCCCCGATCTGATTGGGAAGAGTTTGAAAATGTGCCCTGTGGGTGTGCCTCCAGGAACAGGGTTGGGAAACACTGCAGTATAGGGCTAATCAACACATCAATATTTTCTGCATTCCAAAATTGTACTGTCAAGCAGAAAGGTTGAAACAGAAATCTTTAAAACTTGTGGAGAAAAAAAATGACATTGCATACAAATATTTTAGTCAGCTTAAACCCCATTCCCCATCATAATCTGATAATATTTTCATGAATGCCAATCAGTATTTTTGACATAAAACAACTGAATAAAAAAGAAAGAAAAATGGGAAAAAATAAAAAAAAACTGTTTTTGGACAAAACAACTGCATTTTCAATTTATGTCCTACTATTGTGAAAAAGAAAGAAAGAAAGAAAGAAAGAAAGAAAGAAAGAAAGAACCGTCAGGGCCCTCTAGGTCCTCAGAGAGGGCCTAAACTATTGCCAAAACAATATTTAAACATGCTAAATTATTTTTTTCTTTTAAATTTAATTTAAAAATAATTATTTTAAATTATTTAATTAAAATAAAAAAATGTAAACTTTTAAATATTTTTAATAAAAAAATCATAATTTCTCATTTTATTTAATACATTTTTAATTTGACAATAAACATCTAAATAAAATAAATACAATTTCTGTAGAAATTAACTCTTCAAATCTGCCTATATTCAGTTTGTGTTGGAAGGTGAAGGTTTAAATGAAATATGCCCATTTTCTCATTATTAGAATGTTTTCGCCTAAAGCTTTCGGCTCTTTGATTGGTGGTCCAGCTATGAAATTACCAAGGGCCAAACAATAGTAAATCAATGGGAGAGACATTTCAAATGACAGGAAAGTTGACCAATCATATCTTTCCTTTAAATGGGTGGGCTTTGTTGTCACTAACTTTATAACAAGTTTCGCCCGCTGTGGGGAACTTTATAAAAAAAAAAAGAAAATCAGATAAACTAGCTAGCTAGACTGTTATTCAACTTGAACACCTCTCCTGGACACCTGGCATTTACATGGAACCACTGACGTGTGAACTTTTTGTTGTGCCTGGAAAAAGTAGTCAGGAGGACCTGGTGAATCACCTTGTTGAACACAGATCTAGCAAGGATAAACGATTTGGAATTTGCTCTTGCAGAATTTCAGTATAAGACAGTATTATCTGAGGAATGTCTGCTTTTGAAACCAGATTGGTTGTTATTGAGTAGGTTGTTATGTGAAAGAAAAGTAAAGAGGGAAGAGAGAGACCGGTCTATAGTTTTCAACTGCTGTAGGGTTGTTGGGTTCACCCAAGCCTGATTGAATGTGATGTTGCCAGCATTAAGGCATGTTTTGAAGATCAGTTGGAGCAATCTACTGTAGAACTGGGGGACTGTCCAACCTGGGGACCATCCACCACTTTACATTTTGGATGTCTGCCTCATCTAACACTCCTGGTTCAAATCATCAGTTTATTATTAGAAACTGAAAGACTTGAATTGGGTGTGAAAATGAGGGAGAAATCCCAAAATGTATAGTGGACAAATTTGGAAAGCACTACTGCTGAAGATGGAAGGGGATAAGCTCTAAGGCAGGGGACTCCAATCCTGCTCCTGGAGGGTCACTGTCCTGCAGCGCTTAGCTCTAGCTCTAAATAAACACACCTGAAACAGCTAATCAAGGCATACTAGAAACTTTTTAGGCAGATGTGTTGGAGTAAGTTGGAGTTAAACTCTGTAAGATGTTGGTCCTCCAAAAGCAGGCTATGGACACCACTGGGCTCTTCAACTCTAGTCCTGGAGGGGCGATGTCTTGCAAACTTTAATTCCAACCCTAATTAAACACACCTGTCTGTAATTTGCAATTATGGGATTATCTTCTTGCAAATGATTACCTTGTTCTGAGGTGTCTGGAATAAGGTTTCCAGGACACTGGCCCTCCAGGACTGTACTTGAAGAGCCCTGGAATTAAAGGGATCATGACAATTTTGCTTGATTTTTTGACATTATAAAAGGTAATTGTGCCACTAAAACATCCTGCAAGTTCATTTCGATGTTGCACGTTTTGTGATGTCACAAGAGCAAAATCCAACTATCACTGCCCTAAGAGCAATAGAAAGCGAAATAGATTCCATTATAATGACACTCAATGGGGATGTTTACACTGGATAAAGTACATAGATGTCCTGTCCTATTTCTGATTTACTCCACATGCTTGAGCTACTTCTCACAATAGGAATGTACACTTTGACACATTGTGTTGTTTTTGTCTCTCCACAGCCTTCCAAAGGTCCCCAGCGTTGGGTTAGATGGTTAATTTTTAATTGATTGCGTTTTATGTTTGCCAAAATTAAGTGTCAGAATTGTTTTTATTTATTTTTTTATTTTTTTGCAAATGCATGACTATATTTTAATATCTATAAAAAAATAAATAAATAAAAATAACGTATAAGTGAACCTCATGGAAGATTAAATAAGAAAAAAGACA